GGACAATTAAATTTCGTGGGTGCTCCAGAAAACTAGAGTTTCCTCTCGTAACCTAGTAAAACATTTGTACTGTAGGTAAAAATTTGTAGGCTCTAAATATTTTGCCACAACTGGTAAAATTCACTATAAGCTGAGATACGCCGATTTAAAGTTGAAAACGGTCCGTATTTTGGACTGGCATAACTGCTATACAGATCACCCCGTCGTGGATTTGTTGTGTCCTACGATGCGACCCAGAATTGAGTTATTCTTGTTACGTTGAGAAATTTCGAAGCAGTGAAATTCTATGGCAGAACGGCTAAAAATGTGTGCACAGCAGAAAAAGAAAGGAAGGAATCGCTAAATTTGGCACGAAAAATAGCCATTTCCAGTGGATACGAAGCAGAAGCCACTCTGGTCAGACAAAAGCATAGGGTTGTTGCCCAAAATAATGTTTCGAACCTAAGTAAGATCCCTTTTAATCCAGCTCTCATTTCAAACGAAATAAGTTACGCTATTAAAAGGTGCCTTGGAAGAAGTGGACTTGGAAGTTATGTCGCGGTTATTGACCTCCCATTCAATACACTACGCCGTCAGCCAGTTAGCAACCGCCTCTATGATCGTTTCGCAGCTCGGAAAACTGTATCTAAACTGGAAAGCTAGAATTCGTCAAAACTCTCCTCTAGGTACGCATAGGGCACAAAAGAACAACGGCGATGATTTTGAAGTGAATGCTCGGATCTTAGCGCAGGAACCAAAACATCAAAGCGCAAAACTCTTGAGGCGTTTCGGACAAATTTCAGAAATCCAAATGGAACCGGAAAGGCGAAATGCCTCACTATCACACATGATCCGGCGCCTTATTTCAAATTGATCTTCCGACCAGAGTTAGTCTCTCTCGCCATCTCATATGAACAACACGTAGGCAATCCTATTTGTAACAATACGGTGAGAAGTCTTTTTGATTAATATTGCGTTTATTTATATGTTGTATCTTCATTAATACTTTGGTCTTTCCACAGAATTTTAGACCAAAGGAAGACGAAATCGCCATCGACCAACAACACCAGCAACAACAACATCAGCGACGCCAACAACGACACCAACAACAACACCAACAGCAAACACCAACAACACCAGCAGCAACAACATCAAACAACAACAACAACACCAACAACAACAACACTACCAACAACAACAACACCAACAACAACAACTAACTGCACCAACCTCGCATCAGCTCAACAAGATCAGTTCGTAAGAACATATAAATGTATCGATTATTTATGCCGAGGCTTATTGAAAATCGATCTTTTGAGTGTATAGCAGTTATTTGGCAAACCGTCGTGCTTTTTCCAATGGCTTCCAAATTCCACTATTTTCAGCGGATCGTCTACTGTCGGTAGGGCCCATCACCGTGTTCTCCATGAAGGCTCTCATTTTCGGCACGAAGGCTTTTGAACCATTTATGCATAGTGTGTCAGGAAGCACTGATATCTGAGTTGCTTATGTGGCAAAATTCCTCAAATGGACAACATGAAACTGAAGGTTATGGTTTTCCTTCCTTGAGAGCATTATCTCAATCGGATAAAAATCAATTGTAGAATTGTTTTCAGAAAAACTATGATACGGGTAGCAAGCAACTATTATACGCTGAAAGCTCTCTGAAGAAAAAAGTAGCGATAAAAACAAATGTTTTCTTCGTACCAACTAATGGCTAATGAAAGCTCCCGATTTCCTTAGTTTTGTTGTCGATCTCATTTATTTCCAACTTCTTAGCTGCTTTCTTTTCATGGTGTGTCACTACGTATTATACGAGCTCATTATTTCTTCCATTCGATTCGTTTCCTCGCATCCACGAAACTGTTTGGATTTGCAAGTGAGTACGGCTACTGTTTGGAGATTTCGTTCTTTTTTATAGAAATCGATGAATGGTGGTAGAGAATATTCTTGTTGGAATCCTCGGAAACCTTTTTGAGCGGCCTCATGTCATCATAGGTAGTCTCCAACTTTCATGGATAAGAAGATTTTCTAAGACAAGTCTGATGCGAATTTTCAGATCCCTCAGGAGTGGAATTCCTGTTGGATATGTGGCGGTGTAGAAACTGTGACCACGCTTGAACTATTGTGCTATTGCATTACTTATCTCATTATTATTGTTAAAATATTAGTAATAAGTGTCATTATTAATACATTTTTAACCCAGAAGTTCGACTTTCTATAAACTTCAGCATAATAATCGATATGTCTGTAAATAATAGATAAATACGGGAGCGTGTGGCGCATTGGTCGGAGGCGCCGTGCAACACACACGTAGAATTGATTCCCGCGCCGTTGGCCCACCAAGCCCTTCATCCCACCGGAGTCGGCAAATTGGTACCAGACTTATCTGGGAGGATAGCAGTGCTGGCTTGATACATCGGTAGCCCACCGTGAGTCATTATTGTGAAGGCCGGATATGCATTCAATGACCTCCAAATGATGCTTAGTGAAGTAGAATGCATGGCGCATCCCTCAGGGATTGATCAACGCCAAGAGCTTTATCCTTTATTCTTTAGATCTGTAAACATATTCTTGCAAACTTCTTTTTAGTAGACGCGAGGTTGGTATAAATGTCCTCATTGTTGTTGTTCTAACAATGGGTGACGTTTCGGCAACTTCGCCTTCCTCAGAGCCTTGCCGTTGGACCACCCATGTATTTTTCACGAGGGATGATGAGTTTTCTTTGCATCGGTTAAAAAGTGCAGTTCGTAAGAACATATTTGCAGATATCACACTTTTAATCACTACGCTTCCTTCGCTTCGCGACATTTGTTACTTCGGTTAAAAATTCAGGATTGTATCTAATAGCATTTGCGCCATTGTTTCTTTTTCTCTTCAAAGGACTAGTTTTTCTCTAATACATTTATATTCTCAAGACCGACTTTTTATTACGCTCGTCATTGTTCAATAAGTTAATGCTTTCTTCTTGAGCAAACACGAGGCTGATAACAATAGAATTTATTCAAGACGGGCTGACGTTTCGTCGGTTTGTCTTCTTCAGAAGCAGGAAAGGTTTAATTGACACGCAGTGTACTTACTCGAACACGTTCGTACTTTCGAATGCGGAGGTCAGCGCTAACGTGGGGAATGGTGATCCAGGTGCACTGTACCAGATTTCTTATCAAGAGTGAAGGGACGAGCATGTTGGCGAACAGGGTAGACGCATTCGCCGTCTTTATAAAAGAGGAAATGGTTAGCAAACTTAAAGTCAAACCAAACAGTTCACTAAGCACGAAGAGCACGCGAAAGCACAACGGAGAAGTGTTTAAAGTCACTGTCCTCACCCAAGAATCTCAATCATCAGCGCGTGAAGCTCTTTAAAGTGTTTTGCGTAAACTCCAAAAATCCAAAATTGAACTGTAAGTAGAAATGCTCTATGATCATGGGTGAGCTCATCTTATACTTCAGGGTGGTTGCATGACATGAGCCAAGCACATTCCTCACTCATGTTAGACTCTGTGTGGTGTGCGGTTAGTCTCCAACAATGACTGGAAGACTTACAAAGAACAAAGAAGTCGTTGTTCAACGAAAGCACTTTATTACGAAAATGAAGTTATGTATTGAGAGTTTTCTGCTTAGGCTTTGGAAGTTTGTGTCCCATCAATAAGAAAACAGTAAAATTTATTATTGTTCGTTCCCTATTCAACAGCCACACGTAATTCATAAATATTGAAACTGCTTGTCAGATCCTATACACTTGCTCCAATTCCACACTCTCTAAGCAATTTAATACTTACTTGTCTTTTCACTTTACCATTTGTCTAAGTAGTTTCTCTATCTATCTACTGATTTCTTTAAATGGCTGGTTTTCTAAATCCTACAAGCACTATTCAACGTCCTTCACCTTCTTAACTCTTTTATTCACTGCCTCCTTCCTCTTAATGGCAGGGTATGTTGTGAAATATAATTCGTATGAAGTGCTGAGATATTTGCAAAACTCCGGACCACAGGTGTATGCAGTGGGGAACGAACACGCGCAGTTATCCTTACCGGGGAGCAGCGCACTTCACCACTACACCATCCGGGTCCTTCGCCTTGCATGTATCTCAGCTAGTTCTATCGATCTTTTTTCAATCCCGTTGGCGGGTGATTGCTGATGGCAATATTGCAAATATCTCAGCATTTCATACGAGTCCTTCTCCTCGTTAATGCTTTAAAAGACCGACTTTCTATAAACCTCGGCATGGATAGTTGATATATTTATTTACACGATTTTATAAACTGATGTTCTTTAGCTGATGCGAGGTTGGTATAAGTCTTCGTTGTCGTTGTTGTTGGTGCTGTTGGTCGATGGCTGACGTTTCGGCGACTTCGCTCGCTTTCCTCAGAGCCATGATGTTACGAGCGGGACCCTATAGTTTATAAGATTATATAAATAAATATATCCTTTCCCTTGTCTTTTATTTAAACTCCCTTGGTATTACGAGTGGGACTCGGCATGTGGACGAGAGTTCCACTCGTAACAGCACGACTCTGAGGAAGGGCGAAATCGCCGAAACGTCAGCCATCGACCAACAGTCCCTCTGAATTATCTTTTATGTTATTGTGTTTCCTTCTGTTTTTGCGAACGGATTATAATTTTGATTATTTTGATTATTTGATGCCTTGTCATGCATCGACCTAACCATAGAAAGTTTAGTTGAGGGTAGTGTATATTTTCAACAAGTGCCACACATGAATATTATTTATTATTAAAGAAACATGTGCGAAAACAAGCGCAAGGAAAAATTGGGTGAAATAACTTGGACAAAAGACCAACATGAGAGCATCGAAAGGAACTCGGAGATACGTGATATCCAATGGCATGTCTTAGTTTTAATAGGTAAGCTCATCAGATCTGAATTACACTTGCTGAGTAGTTCTTGGATTTATTACAACGCGTGCGCAAGAATAATTCAACCCTCGGCTTGTGAGTTATTACGGCAGTTATCTTGCTAAAGTTGGTATCACAGTTATAAATGTACACGTCGCAGATGAGTCTACGAAAGCCAACTAGGTGAAAGTATAACTTCGGAGGCAATCAGTTTCGATTCTATGAGCGGTGATAACACATATGGTGATAAAACAACTGAGGAAAGAAATAGTGGGGATAATATGAGAGGAGAAAGGAGGAACGGATTAAGAACTAGTGGTGTGCCGGCGACAGGTGTTAATATGAGTGGATTGAGAACCATTGGGGAAAGAATTAGTGGAGAGAATACTTGTGGTGATAAAATAAACGGCGAAAGCACTAAAGGTGAAAGTACGATCGGATTAAAAATACCTGGGACAAGAATCAACGGATGCAGTACCAACGGCGAAAGAATTATAGGTGAAAAGATTAACGGAGTTAAGATCAATGGCGACAAAACACGAGGCGAAAGTATAAGCGGAATAAACACCCACGGTGAGAGTGTTATTGGTCCAAGTACTGCCGGTGATAGAACAATGGGAGAAAACAGTAGTGGAGACAAGGTGATCGGTTGAGAGAGCGGTCCGCTGGCAAATACTAGCCAAGTGAACAGAAACGGTGACAAGACAATATCCTTCTGACGCACTTGGAACTTTTTAGCCTCGGCGATTTTACGGATACTAAAAACACTTACATTACTCGTCATCTATAAAAATTTAGCTTTTGATCTTATTTTTAATAATATAAAATCAATGTCATCGCTAATCTTATTAATGTGAGGAATTAGAACTGGTTATTCGTGAAGCTATCGAGTTGTTCAGAAATAAATGAGCGTTTCAAAATATTTATTTATTGTATGTTTATTGTATTATTTATATTTATTTGTTATTTATTGTTATTATTTATTATTGTTATTGCAAAATATTTATTGTTTTAATGTACTTTTTACCAATAAAGTACTCTTTGTAGCTTTCAGCTTTAATTAGTTGATCATGTGTTCTTTCTAACCATGTTTTCATATTTTGCAAAAAGTTAACTTTGTTTTTTTCTTTTTACCAAATCTTAGCTTTGAAATTTTAGGTGTTAAGGGCGAATTTTCGTCAAATTTCCTTTCATGGGTTCAAACTCGCTCGTAGTGCAGCAGATACGGCTGGAAATATTAACGAAGTTTAGGGTGAAGTTAGTGCAGGTGAATTAACAGTTCGACCATGGTTCCGGAAATCCCGATCTGCTGACTTCGATTTCGAAAATTGGGAAGGCCGCGGCCGTCCTAAAGAACTCAACCACGACGAATTGAAGGTGCTATTAAAAACAAATATGCGAACAACTGTTCGAGAGCTTGCTGAACAGCTTGGCGTAAGCACAAGAACAATATTCACTCACTTGAATGGCAAAGGAAAAACGAAAAACTCGACAAGTGGATGCCGCACGAAATAACAACGGTCAATAGAAAAATTCGCCGTTTTGAAGCGTCGTCTACTCTTATTCTGCACAACAAAAACGACACCTTTCCTTATCGAACTCTGGTGTGCGATGAGAAGTGGATTCGGTACGACAACCGGCTACGTTCAGGAGAATGCTTGGACTGAGATCAGGCTCCACAGCACTTCCAAAGCCAAAATGACACCAAAAAAGGCTATGGTGACTGTTTGGTTGGCCACAGCCGGGCTGATTCGTCACAGCTTTTTGAATCTGGGCGAAACGATTACGGCGGAGAAGTATTGCCAATGCACCGTAAACTCCAACCTCAACCGGCATTAGTAAGCAGAAAATGGCCAATTCTTCATAACGACAACACCCGGCTCCACGTTGCGGAACTAGCGCTGCAGAAGTTGAACAAGTTCAGCTAGGAGACTTTGCTTCACCCGCCATATTCATTAGACCTCTCGTCTACCGACTATCACTATGACTAGTGAGTGACAATGTGGATTTTCCTGTGCTGTAATCGTTTTCCTTGGGTGCTCCTATTTTGTCACTGAAGTTTCCAACAATGAATTTCAAAAAAAAATTCTTTGTGGCAAATCACTTTCGAGGATGTGTGGTTTGCTTCAAATTAATTCAAATATCATATCTGACAAAAAATGTGAAGAAAGGAGCTTCGTGCGAAAATTGTAGCTCTTTGCACTCACCGAGTGGGCGGATTTCACTCAAAGCATAGATGTGTGCAAAAGTTGAACGATTAACGGATCCACACATAATAAAAGCAATGCAATTGATGACCAATTGCCATTAAAAAACAAAATGATAAAATAGCAACACTGGAAAATTTACTAAGGCAAAGAATATTTTAGACGAGAACATCCTCCATAAAGAGTTATATTAAATGTGACAAATCTCTAAGAGTGCCCAGAAGGCCGGAAAAATTTCGCCTTCACAACTGAAAAATATTGGAGATTATTTGAAAAATAAGGGGGCGTGTAGCGCAGTGGTCGGAGACGCCCTGCAACACACAAGTGAAATAGATCCTGGCGCCCATGACCTACCAAGCCTTTCATGTCTTCGGGGTCGGCCAACTGGTACCAGCCTTGTCTACAATGATAGCAGCACTGGCTCGATACATCGGCGTGCCACTGCGAGTCATTGTAAAGGCCAGATATGCATTCAATTACCTCCAAACGATGCTAGACAATGAAGTCGAATGCATGGCGCATCCCTCAGGGATTGATCAACACTGAGAGCTTCATCCTTTTATTTTATCCACTATTTATTTGAAGAATCGCTTTTTATCATTACTCTGTTAAACGGCTTACTGAGAAAAGTATACAAGACACCAGATTTGCTGCAAACAAAAATTCCTTCCCTACTGTTCAAGTATTTATATATTAGGCTTTGGTATTTTTGCCGTCCACCATCTTTCTTACAAATGCGGGTGGCAGAGCTCCATTATGCTGAAAGCTTAATTTGTTAACAGATGAAATTAGTTGTGTTCGCCCACTCTTTTTCGATAAGGTGATGTGGATCGTCTCGCAATCGATGGATTTTCTTGAATTGTCGCAACGAGTCTGGTTTGTGGTATGGTGAATTCGGTCCGTATACTATATCCAACTGCTTTGGAGTAAGAAAGGCAAAACCTTGCCTCTCTAGATCGTCTTTCTAAAAAAACCGTGTGTGTGAAATGTGTTATACCGTTCTAGACGCCTTCTAAACTGCACCATGTCATAACCTTTTTTACTTACTGCCTACTATAATTTTTAACGGCAGTGTATCATGTGAAATACAACTAAGATAATGCTGAGATATTGGCAAAACTCCGGACCGCAGGCGTATGCGGTGGGGATCGAACGCGTTATTATTGTCCTTTCCGGGGAGTAACGCGTTCACCACCACACCATGCGGGTCCGTCGTTTCGCCTGTCTCTCAACTAGTTCTATTGTTCGGTGCCATCAGCAGCCACCTGTCAACGAGACTGATCTAGGGAGCCCAAATTGGCAACGAACCTAGTTAAGCTGAGGCTGAACTCGAAATCACAATCATAACCACTTTTATTTACTGCCTACTATAAATTTTAACGGCAGGGCATCATGTGAAATGTGGTGTGGTGGTAAACGCGTTACTTCCCGGAAAGGACAATAGCGCGTTCGTTCCCCACCGCAGACACCTGCCGTCCGGAGTTTTACAAATATCTCAGCATCATCTTAATTGTATTTCACGTGATACCCTGCCGTGAAAAATTATAGTAGGCAGTAAAAAGAAAAGTTTAGATTGTAAAAATGAATTGTATATGGCATATGACGGTCAGTGAACGATTAGTGCACGTATCAGTGATTTCAGAACCTCTTTTTCTCTCTATGCATTTTCAAATCTATATTTCTCAAGCTTCTTGCTTACTTCGAAATACTCGCGGTTCTTCGAATAAATTTTCATTCAAGTAAACTTCATAGGCCGAACTAAGAAATGCGTGGAACGAACCTGATCTAATGTGTAGGTTTTATCAAGCTTCTCAAAGGTTTCAATTTTTTGCTCTTCCATGCTGCCAAATAGTTCGCTGACGTTCTTTTTGTTTAAATGTAAAGGCACTCCATCCTTGCCGCGCATATCATGTTCATTTATTTCCCCTTTAAGCTGCTTTTCAGTCCTATCGACGGTCTCCGTCACACCTGAAAAAACTTGTTTTACTACTGAAAGCGAGAACGGAGAAAACATATTAGTTATTCGTTCTATAATCAAACGAAACAACCTTTAAAAAAACAACAGAGAGTTGAAAGAAACGAGAGTCTCCACGAATTCCCAGTGGGTTTGTTCTCGCTTTAATTTTGATTGATTTAAATTTTTAAGATTTTTGGCGAGATAGCGGAAGCTGTAAATGTAAATGGTGCATTAGAGAATACCATGTTTTGCTGTGGTTCGAAACTCCGCTTGTTCAACTGTTTTCGAAGTCTTTAAACGAAAGGTGAAAAAGTAGTTTTCATTGGTTTCTATGAAAACTCGTGTTTTCTTGGCTAGATCTGAAGGAATAGTCTTATTTCGATTAATAAACTTAATTAGGACCTGAGATATTCTGGTGTACATATGGAAGTGGCTATTATTTTCGCACCAAGTGCACATTGCACAATGCCACTTGGACCACATAAAAAACCCATACGTTTTTAGGAATTCCTTAATTTTTGTCAACACGGCTATCCTACCCGATGCCTCCATAATGAAATCGAGCCACGCTTCATAGTCGCTGTTCGGCAACTGCTTAAGTAAACGCGGTAGCGACATCGATTTTTCTGCTTCATCACCGTCTTCGTGGAGTGAAAACAACGACGGAGAAAGTACGTTGAACTGGAAATGGTATGCTGTTTTAGACACTTTTAGCCTGAAAACGTAATGAGTTCATGTTTTGAGATACTGGAAGAGAAGAGAAAACAGGGACAGATAGCTACGCAAAAAACAACATTCATTAATAAAACTGATGGCAGTAAGGATGTTATGCATATATCTAAACTCATTTTCATTTCTTCAAACATGATCCTAAATCACAGGTTGTGCGGATCCCAACACCTGCATTTCATTCGTTCCCCGTCGTCCGCCACTCATGAAGCTCTTCGGATTTGGGCCCACACGGGTTCGACCGCTGTTTCAGTGCTTTTTTTCTTTCAGGCGTTCCTACGTCTTGCAGACCGGAGTGATCTTTTCGGAGAAGCTTGATACCAAATCCCCATCCCGGAGGGATGGACACCTGGTAAACCTAGTGGTGGCGTGAACAACGCTTGTAGGATAAGCTTTATGGGAAGCAATTTTTACATCTCATGCAGTGAGAAACTGGTTACAATTTTCTTAAACCCAATAAAAGCAACTTATACTAAAAGAGTACGAAAGAAATTTTGCAAGATTATTTTAATACAAACTTTAATATATAACCATGAGATATTTGCAAAACTCCGGACCGCAGGTGTATGCGGTGGGGAACGAACACGCTATTGTCCTTTTCGGGGAGTAGCGCACTTCACCACCACACCATCCGGGTCCTTCGCCTTGCCTGTCTCTCAACTAGTTCTATTAATCTTTTGCCATCAGCAATCACCCGTCAACGGAATTGTTCTGGGGTCACAATCTTAACCCTTTTATTTACTGCTTTTTTTTCTTTTTAATGAAAGGGTATGTTGCGAAATATTACTCATATATAATGCTGAGATACTTGCAAAACTCCGGACCGCAGATTGTGATTATAACTAAGCCTCAGCTTAACTGGGTTCAATTCCGATTTGGGCTCCCCAGATCAATCCCGTTGACGGGTGATTGCTGATGGCAAAAGATCAATAGAACTAGCTGAGAGACAGGCAAAACGAGGGACCCGGATGGTGTGGTGGTGAAGTGCGCTACTCCCCGCTAAGTACAAACTTTTATTTTCAGCTCCATTGTGAAGAACTTACCAAATCGTCATCGTTCTGCTCGGGTACAACACTTAATAGTCGTGGTGAAGCCAATTTCACTGTTTTTTTGTCGAACTTCGTCACATTTTTACCGGTTGCCGCCAAAAATAACTAAAATGATATTCCAGTTAATACGAGTTGAGGCCGAAGAACACCACCGAAGTCATTCAGTTTACTTTTTATGCTATACTGGCTCCACAAGATAAGAAAAAGTTATCTTCCTCTTCATTAAGTTCGATGAGTCTGTTTACAAGCAATTTCCTCTATGTGACTATGCAAAGCACCAGTTTTCCAAAGTTGCAACCAAATGTTAAACGATGAAACGTTGAGCGTCCACCAGCCCCTTAAGTGCGCGGTATGCATTTGGATCCATTCGCAAAGCTGGAAGAAGGGTAAAGGATAAAGCAATCAGCATTGATCAATGCCTAGGCCATGTGACGAGGGCTCGACTTTATTAAGCATCGTTAAAAGTGATTGAATGCAAATCTGGCCTATACAATGACTAATGGTGGCCTAGAAATATATCAAGGGAATGTTTTTATTCTCACAAAAATGTTCGTTACCAATTTGCCGTCCCAGAAAAAAGAAAAACTTACTTATTCCGTGGTACAAGATTGAACCATCGATTAGGGGTGTATTGGAGGTTACTTTTAATACGCCACAAAAATTGTTATAAATAGGAGAAACATTCAGTTTCATAATTAATTACCTTAACCGAATCCCGAAGCAGCTTCATGGGAACGCGCATCTCGCTTCTTTTCCGGGCAGCAAGCTTCTTCTTCAATGACATAGCCAAATCTTCCATCTCCATCTGTAGTAACCACATCATATTCTAGCATGTATTAAATAAAAACTGTCAAAACAACTTAGTGTATGAAATATATGGAACAAGGTTGCTGGCTTTTTCGTTCCTGACCCAAACTTCTTCAGATGAGACAATAATTCTCGAAGTTAAACTGTAATGTACAGCCAAACGTGACTTAATTTACAGAGTGGGTCACTCGGTTTGAGGACTAATTCCATTTTCACCAAAATTTCAATTATTACACAAAGCAGTGTATGAAAACACTACCTCCGAGTAAAAGACCTATGGAAAGTGGCAAATCTTCTTACGATTCAGCATGTCAGCAAGTGTCATTAGTGAACACGCTCTCTCGCTATTTTCATTTAATTAAAACCCTTGATGTTAAAAAAGAAAGTCAGTGGATTAATGCTCAAAATAAGGCCGGTGAACGACTTAAGAGCACAAACATTGGAAAGCACCATGAGCAAAGTCTGGAACATTTCAAAAAATAGCTAAAGTGAATGTCGATCTGATAGACCCAAATCTCAAAGTTAACTCCCGCGACCGACTTTCCATTAATCCCGGCATTGATCAGGTAATTCTTCGCATTCTTGTTGAACAAACACGAGGTGTTATTTTTATTCTTTATTCACGAATAAGCTGACGTTTCGGCGGATTTCGCCTTTCTCAGAGCCTGGAAAGGTCAAGTTGACAGCAATCTATTCAGCCAAACACCTCAATAACCAAACAAAGAAAACGCCAAACCAAAATTTTCAATCACATTGAACACAGCTCTGCACACTCATTGCTTTCTATGAGTCTTCCACTGAGTATGTCGTGTGAAGATCAACCGAACAGAATTCACATGGAGACGTAATGTGCCCCTCCCATCAGAATAACAGGCTTATATACTGCCCAATATCAGGCGTGACAATGAATCATTCTTTCCTGCGGCTCATTTTCGGATTCTTGGAATTAATCCACAATGCCTCTAGAGTTTTGCGCGCTTGTGTTCTCGATTCTTGTGCGAAGATCGTGACACGTACCTCAAAATCCTCTCCGTTATGTCTTTCTTTGTTTGGTTGTAGAGGTGTTTGGCCGAATAGATTGCTGTCAACTTGACCTTTCCAGGCTCTGAGGAAGGCGAAATCCACCGAAACGTCAGCTTATTCGTGAATGAAGAATTAAAAGAACATCTCAAAGTTTAGCTGTTCGAATTTGTAGTTCTTCAAGGACGCTGGGATATAAGGAGACGTTCGACGATAGTTCAGCTACTATGCCTTCAGAAATGAATCGAAAAAAAGAATCGTGAACGAGCTCCAGCCTAAACCTCTTAAAAGCAAGCAAAATGGAAGAAGCTTGCACGAAGCGGAATGAATTTCTTTCTTTAGTTTGGTGCAAAATTTGTGAATATAGTCATTCAAGTGTTAAAATAGGTATATCAAGACTGTGCTCACTTTTTTTACTGCTAATGGCTTCCGCGGATCCATAAACTTTTCTGGAGTGTTGGCAATCATTTTGTTAAGCTTCTTCTTCAGCTGTGCTCGTTTTTCCTTCTGCATACGTGCTGTAGCACCTATAGCTCTGATTCGATGAAGGGTAGAACGCCAGCTACAACGTAGTGATTTCTTGTTTTCTATCAATTTGAATCAGCCGACTTAAGAAATAATTCAACCTTTCGTATCCTTTTTTATTTTTCAGCGTACGTACAGTTTTCGTCATCTGTCTGATGACTTTTGAAAGAATTGGTGTATCATCGTGAGATCTTAGCGTGTACGAAGATCGATTTACAATCTGAAATCGAACGTCATCGCTGATCTTAGTGCAAAAAAGTACGTTTATCCATTATTGTGTTGTAGCAAATACAGGAAATACCACTCCTAAGGGCCAAAGGCAAGTGTGGCGCAGTGGCCGGAGGCAGGAGGTGAGATTGTGCTGGGTCGCGCAGAACCAGTGAGGAGGGTCTTCCAAGTATCAAGTAAGTAAGGTAAAATGCCAATTAACTAAAATCGCTCACGTTAATGCTCCTTTTGGCTCGAGATATTCGAAATCCTCCTACCCAACTACTGTCACGATGTTGGGTGGTCTTTGCCAATTTCCGATAATGAGATTGCTTCTCTTAACAAGCACTCCATCAACGATTTTTAGGAAAATGAAAAAAATTGAAAAGCATAAAATTTCTAATGCTCTGTAAAGGTGAATGATGGATTGAAATATCTATTTGCTTCTTTAATAGAAGTTTTTTCTTTGGCTACTTTTTCATTCAAATATAAGTGACCATAGTCACTGAAGTCAATGCATAATGTCCACTTTTCCTAGCCACTTATACACTGATATCAATGCATATGGTCACAAGACGAGGTGGTAAGTCACATCAGTTGCACAAGAACGCTGTATCGATGGTCACTTCAATCATCATCTTGAGAAGAATGAAAACGCCCCTAAATTACTGCGGTACACTAAATAGGAAGAATTATGATCGAGCGGTGCATAACAAACTTGCAATAAAGTTTTTCTATCCTATTCTTCTTCATCAAATCGACTTCTTTTCGTATCGATTTTTCTGCCACAAAAATCAATAGGCGTGCTTTAAATGGAACCGTATTACGTATTTGCTTGTTCTACCGTTTCATACTTCACACGTCCAACGATATATTTCAGCACCGTGCACTTATTACGACGAAGGACACCGTTGGGTCAAAGTACCGATATTTTGCAATGATTACTACTTACTTTCTAGCATCTTCTTCGTTGAATTATCAGCTGTTTTCCTGCGCTTGATAGGTTTTGTCACATCGAGAATTTTAACAACACATCGTGCATGTTCGGGAACTGTACGAGCACGTTTCGTGCATTGATGTAAGTCGTCGATTTCATCGGAATCCAGCTGATCCAGTCTGCAATAGGAGGAAAATTGTTTACTTCCTTGTCTTTCACTTTTCTACAAAACTTCCTCCACAATGTGGATAGTCATTCTTTTACAAAGATGCTGCATTCATTGCGGGAAATAATTCTTTTTCGAACTTGAAGACAATATCTCTTTCAGCACGACATTTACACTAACAATGAGAACAAGCGAGAGCACTTAATTAGCTGGATTCGATGGATTCCAGCTCTATTACTGCTATCCTACCGGCTACATTAATTCTTTACTCTTTCAAATCTCTTCAGATAAATAAGATTTAGACTTTCAGACGGCATCACCACTGATCCATATTTTTCTTAAGTGCAATACGGCGAATGGAGTTTAAACAGAAATGTAGAAAAATCTATCCAACATGAACAGCTCTTAAAAGAAAGAACAAAACTGCAGTGCCGGCTCGAAAGACTGACTCAATATGCAGATTTTAATGATTAAGCAATTCTTCAGTGCTTGACAAAGTTTTGAAGGTGACGTTGTTCCTGAACAGAAGTTCATCACCCATGCTAAGTCACCTAAGATAAGAAGCTATTTCTATGCCTCTATCAAGCAAAATGTGTAGGCTATTCCGAAGTTTTCCACTGCACCAAAAAAATTTAAGCGGGAAGGATCTAAGAGAGGTGGACCTCTCAGTTGCGGTGAATTTACATTGTACAAGGGTATGGATCGAAAAAGAAAAATTCTTGAATAAATAGGAAAATTACAGCCAAATTGAGATTCTATGAAGGCGATCACAATTTACCGTGGAAACGGGGATATGAGAATACAAGCGAAACGTAAGATCTGAGCTAAAAACAGAATAAAAAGGGTAGCGACCTCTGGACCTTGCCGGTTCGTCTCACACGGAAGAACCGAATCTATCAACTTCCACATAAAAAAGCGCCAAGTATATTTTAGATTATAACCAGAACGATGCTATGATGTTAGAAGAATTCGGAGCCTCAGATAAGCTTCGAGCTCGCGATCAGCCATTCTGAGTGCTCACGTGTTACCCACCACTCCGACCGAGGACATTGCTTTGTGTTTCTTTCAGCCAGTTTTTTGTTGCCCTTACAATGCTACCAGCAATCACCTGTTAAACGAGAATGATCTGAAAAACACACTTCAATATTTGCCCAGTTATTCTGAAGCTACAGTAGAAATGCCATTGATCGTTGGCACCATTATATATAAAACAGGCTGAGATAAAGGTAAAGTTGGGACTCCAGTGGTACCGGGGGTAAGAGGTAAGCTCTTATAAAAGGTAGTAGCGCTTCGATCTGGCGTGGAGTACAAGTTTTGCAAGTATTTCAGCATCACAGGATTTTTATTCTGTGCTATTTATAATTGCTACTAGAAATTGAATACTGGTAATTGTAATCTTAACTCTTTTATTTACTGCCTTTTTCTTCTTAATGGCAGGGTATGTTGTGAAATATAACTCGTTTGAAATGCTGAGATATTTGCAAAACTCCGGACCACAGGTGTATGCAGTGGGGAACGAACACACGCTGTTGTCCTTACCGGGAAGCAGCGCACTTCACCACTACACCATCCGGGTCTGGTAATTGTAGCAAATGTAAATGACAAATATATAATCCTGTGAGCGAAATTGTTGCCCAACAGCCTGTGTCATTTTAATAAGTCGATAAGAAACAAGGAAAAGACTTAAGAATACTTGAATAAACGGGATAATGTGAACCATAAAACCATTAGGTCTTAAGCAGAGCGAAGAGGGTGTTTATGGCTGGAAAATTTTTTTGACTAGAAGTCACTCCATCATATTCTTACACATTGGTCAACTGTCTCCAAGAGTGCTCCATGGATTCAGTTCCATTCGTAGTATTGTACAGAATTTAATGCATATTCGGCGTTTACAGTGGTATACTGGTGTATCAAGTCATGTTTCTTATCCTCCAAGTTGCCGCCGGCGGAGAAGCGAAAAGATTCTTTTGCCACGAACGAGGGTTCTAACTGAAAATCGTGTCTGTTATAGCAAAACAACTTTTGACCACAGCGTTATACTTCCCATTGTAAAGATGTTATATTAAAAAAGGTTTGCATACCAAAACAGCATTCGACTTCAATAAGTATCGTTGGAGGTGACTGAATGCATATCTGGCCTTTACAATGGCCTCGTGGTGGCCTACCGATATATCGAGCAGGTGCTGCTATCCTCCCAAACAAGTCTGGTACCAATTTGCCGACCTCGGAGGGATGGAAAGCTTGGTGGGCCATGGGCGTCGGGATCCATTCTACGTGTGTGTCACAGTGGCACTTCCAACCACAAGTAAAATTTATTCCTCATTAACTCTATTTCACATTCATGTTCAGTTCTACGTCTTTCTTTCTATTTCTTTCCAATGATCTTTTCTTCGTAGATTTTATCATCAGTGACGATCTTCTTCGTGTACGACAACCTAAGACCGGAATTTCCGAAAATGGAATGGGAACGTGATGCCCAAAAAAAATTGAATTTGATTTCAACCATTAGTAAGGGAAAATCTCTTCCGTTTGGAAATATGACAAAATCGAAGATATTTTTATCGCCAAACATTGCAGACGATCAGGAATTTCTCATAACAATTTTTTCTTCCACTGTTTATCAAAATGATTAGTAATTCCCACAACCGACTCTCTGTTATCCTCGGCATTGATCGAGTAATACCTTATACTATTGCTGAGCAAAAAAGAGGGGTGTTGTTTTATTCTTCACCTTTTTATTTACTGCCTATTCTTTTTTAACGACAGGGTATTTGCGAAATATAACTACTATAATGCTGAGATATTTGCCAAAACTCCGGCCCACAGGTCCCGTTGACGGGTGATTGCTGATGGCAAAAGATCAATAGAACAAGCTGAGAAACAGGCAAGACGAAGGACCCACATGGTGTGATAGTGAACACGTTACTTCCCGAAAAGGACAATAGCGCGTTCGTTTTCCACCGCAGACACCTGTGGCCAGGAGTTTTGCAAATATCTCAGCATTATAGCAATTTTATTCTTTATTCAAGCGCTAGCAGACGTTTCGGCCGATTTCGCCTTTGTCAGAGCCTGGAAAGGTCAAGTTGATCGCTATCTACTCTGCCAAACAAATACAAACAAGTTCTCTAATTAATATTGCAATTAGGAACAAAACGTAAAATTTCTTCTTCAATTCGTTTCATGACACGCCCTTGTCATTTAAAAAACTGTTGCTGCCCCAGGTTTCATCCATGACTAGTCACTTTACTGAAAATTAAGAAAGGCGGTGAACGACGATGAGAGGAATACATGTGTAACTTGCACAAGTTTTGAAAACACCGGTGGTGTCTGCTTTGTCGGCATTTTAGCTTTTCTAGGGATGTAATGATGACACAGTGACTTAGTGAACTGAAGCCTTTTTCTGCAACAACGGGCGTTTTCGAGCGGATTTTACTTCAAAGGTTTACGAATTTTCACTATCTTTAATGAGCTTCCTTTTCGGCTTTGTTCCTTTCCGTTCCCCTTCCTCTCCTTCTCTCCTTCTCTCCTTTTCTCTCTCTACCCATGCCACGCTCTCTTCCTTCTTTCTTCTCTTTCTCCGCTTCTCCCCTTCTTTCTCTCTCTCTCTCCTCACTCTCACTTTCTTCAGCTCTCAGCCCGTGTTCCTGAACTTCAAATCAACATTGATCTTTCCTTGCAAGAAGACTGATTAGGCGTGAGATGTTCTTGTTGCAGCATCCGCTCTGTTTTTTTTCCTCCGTGTCCGTATGACTTTTTGTATCCATTTGAATTCAAATAAGTGACAGTTTACTTTCCTTTTCCATCGTCTTCATCTTCATGTTTTGTTTATTCTCGTTTTCTAATTCGAATGAACGCTCAATCAAGTTCCTCTGTTGATGGAAGGTGAACGTATAAATCCGTATCCGAACACGCTCACGTTATCAAAATCCCTTTCATCATATCGCTGTTAACAGTAAAAAGCATGTGATAACACTGATATCTGCACGTAGTAAATTTCTCTAATGGAATGACATCTAATGCATTCAGCGGGTTTCTCTCTATTCTTGTGACGGACAGTTAGTACATCACTATTGCAATCAAAGACGACGCAGTGGTCGAGAGATGGTTAGCGTTAAAAGATTCCGAAAAATTTTGACCTAATAAAAAATCGACGACCTATGATTTATTTCTTTTTGTAAATCTCAACAGTTCTCGGAAAAGAAAGTCTTGTTGCATTTTTCCATGGACTTTTTAGGACGCTCTATTCTTTAGATACAACAGATAAAGTTCTCCGATCATTGACAATACAGTAATACGGCTATCGTCAAGACAAAGAGAATCCGAGCAAAAACAATGATACTCAGTGATGTGAATTTGCCAAGATGAGCCTCTCTATTTTCTATCCTTGAAGATTGTTTAGTGAGAAAGTTTCGCAAAACCTTTTCGGACTTTTTGAAATGTTTTTTTCTTCATTGACAAGAGAAGTTCAAGTCAATGCCCCCTAAGTTATTGAAGATTCTTATAGTCTACTGGTTTATACATTGTAGATTCAAGCATTTTTAGAATCTAGGCATATGAATACGATCAGTGGATAAATCTATCTGAATAGTAAGATTACAGTGCTAACTTTTTTATTTACTGCCTACTACAATTCTTCACAGCAGGGTATTATGTGTGATACAACCAAAATGGTGCTGGGAAGTTTGCAGTACTACTGCAGGTGTCTGCGGTGGAGAACGAGCATGCTACTACCCTTGCCTGGGACTAACGCGTTCACCTCCACATCATGCGGGTCCTTCGTTTCGCCTGTCTCTCAGTAAAATTACTATTAAATGGTAATCTTGGTTATGACCAACGATCTGGAACGTCCTCAAGTCTACTCTATTCTCGCTCTCCTCTCGAACCCTTCTATTAAACGCATGAACCTGTTGGGCTCCTGTTAGACTATGAATGCTAAAATTATGTAAAATAAGTAGAATTTATACAGTTACCCAACAACTACTATTAGGCAAAGAATCCATGACGATTAGACCGCTTCTTTCACATTTGTTTCAACCGCATCCGTATCTTCTATGGCTATATGTTTCTGATCCTATGACAGCTTTACGAACTCTCAGAAGGACGTTGCTCCAGATAGCAGAGTGAAGAGTGCAATCACTTTTTGTTTACTGCCTGTTCTTTCACATTTATATTTCACATTATACCCTGCCAAGAAAAAAGAATAAGTAGTAAATAAAAAGTGATTACATTGTGATTTATGCTATAGCTTCAGCTTAACTCACCAAATCAATCACGTTGACGGGTTATTGCTGATAGCCCCTATAAACACGGCTAATAGAAAGGCGAAACGAAGGACCTGCATGGTGGTAACGCGTTAGACCCCGTAAAGGGTAATACCGTGTTTCATCCCCACTGAAGACACCTGCGGTCCGGAGTTTTGCAAATATCTCAGCATCAAAATGGAGAAAATTATCTATTTTGATTTTTATAACGGCGAATACTTGTCACTCTCTTAACTTTTTTTTTACTGCCTATTCTTTTTAACGGCAGAGTATGTTGCGAAATATAACCTCTATAATGCTGAGATATTTGCAAGACTCCAGACCGCAGGCGTTTACGGTGGGGAACGAACGCACTATTTTCCTTTCCGGGGAGTAGTGCGTTCACCGCCACACCATGCGGGTCCTTCGTTTCGCCTGTCTCTCAACTAGTTCTATCGATCTTTTGGCAGACCCGCATGGTGTGGTGATGAACGTGTTACTCCCCGGAAAGGACAATAGCGCGCTCGTTCCCCACCGCAGACACCTGCGGTCTGGAGTTTTGCAAATATCTCAGCATTATAGAATTCGAATTTTTTCTAATGATAGCATAAGATCCATGACACTAAGAAAGACTACCTTGAAGTTGCCACTGCACTAATAAGTCCAGAAACTGCTTGACTCAGCCATCTGTCTAGCAGTTCCATAGTGGCGGTCTCATTGAGAGGTAGACGAAGTGTCTTGCCATCCTGATAAGCGTGCTTGGTTGGCAGTGGTGTAGCCGTTACCTCATGGCTGTGTGTTACTGAATACAGTGATTTCCACATCATAAAAACTATTAAAAAAATTTGTGTTGTGCTGAGGTACTCAATGAAATTCAAGATATTCATCGTTGGAATTCCACGGTGGATTCTCTGGTCTCTTCCAACGCTCATTAAGAAGAAGGTGTGGTGAATAATTTTATGGGCAAAAGCCCTAGTATTTATAGAACGAATCTGAACTTGCCGTATTACTGATTGGGTGTTTTAAAGTTTAGATGATTGTGTATAAAAACTAACTAATTAAAACTCGTCCGATTACCAACAATAAGAAATAACGTATAAAATACTGCACGATATAATAGAAATCCAATGACAAGAGTGCTGACTGGAGGCGGAAGTTAGCCGAGATCTTTATATGGACCCGAGAAAGAGGGACATAGTGGGTAAGATAGAATAATAAGAAAAAAAAATGCATAAAGGTAAGTTTAGTTATTCCACTATGACCATCAATATAAATATTGTTTTTGTTAATAGTCAGCTATATCTAACGAAGGAGATTTTGAAGTAGAGGTTACCATAATCGTGCAATAACCGAAAACTTCAACGCGAAAAACTCGATTCAGCCTCGATAAATTCCGCAAATCCGAGAATGAACCGCAAGGAAGAATGCCTCGTTATCACACATGATCTCACACAATGTCTCAGATTGATATTGCAAGGTGGGAAAGGCGCATTGCCTATCCGTATGAGTTCTGTGCTATTGGTCTCCACGTGGAATACAATAAAAAACTCACAGAAAGCAGTGAATGTAGGAAGAAGCAGTTTTACTATTGATGCCAGAAATTTAGGTTTAGGGTTTTTTTGTTCGGGTTATAAAGGTATTTGGTTAACTAGAGTGCTCTCAATTTGACTCTTCAAGGCCCTGAAGAAAGCGAAATTAGCCGAAACGTTAGCAAGAGTATAGTAACAAACTCATGTGTGCTCATCAGGAAAACAGCAAATTATTTAGTTTGGTTGACATTTAAACTTCATCAAATAGAAGCCATGGAAAAATAAAGTGATGAGAACATCTATGTATTATATGGTGTTATGAAAAAGGAAGTACTGACTAGTTGTACTTACCAAGCAACAATGTTGACAGCAACAGTAACAACGTTACCATACTTGTCAACATGCTGATCAACAGGATGGCACAGATCACTGATATACCTCAGACTATCGGAATAGGGGAGCTGGAGAGCAGTTCACGGTAAAACATTCTGTACGCTCCTTATATTTGGAGCGACGACGCCACGCCCGCCAGCCGTGTTCCAAGTGCAGATATCACATGGTAGCTCGAGTTTCCTTCGAACCACCGTGATCGTTTCGACAAAGAGAGATAGTCGAACGAACGGATCATGTCGAAGGTGAATTTTCCACTTCGTATCACACACATATACACCTTGACGATGTGATTAGAATTGAATGTGCGATATTAGAAAGAACGGGAAAAGCGCAAGGAAAGGAGATCATAGTAGGTAATGGGACTAAAAAGAAGCCGAAAATATTCAATGTTTGTGAGTCTGCGCTTGTTTATGTGTGTATGTATGTGTGTTTGTGTCTGTTTGTGAATGTGTGATTTTGTGTATTCGTGTGTGCTGTGTGTTCGTAAATGTGTCTATGTGTGTACATCTGTATGTTGCGTATGCTTGTTTGTTTCCATAGGCGTGTATTCGTGTGCGGTGTGTGTATGTATGTGTATTGTGCGTTTGTATACGTGTGTATGTGTGCGTTGCGTGTGTGTGTGTGTGTGTGTGTATGTGTATATGTGTGTACGTGTGTGCGTGTGTGAGTGGGTGGGTGTATGTGTATGTACAGATGTATAGTTGTATCTGTGCACAAAGCGGTTATCGCTCGAAATCTTACGAACTTGAGCATTTTTGTCAGCATCGACTTTTATGGATCGGAAGCGGTGGCAGTCGGAGGCGCTCTGCAACACACACGTGGAATCGATCCCCGTGTCCATGGCCCACCAAGTCCTTCATCACCCCGAGGTCGGCAAATTGGTACTGGACTTGTCTGGGAGGATAGGAACACTGGCTAAATACATCGGTAGGCTACCGCGATTATTGTAAAGGCCAGATATGCATTCAATGACCTCCAAACGATACTGAATGAAGTCTAATGCATGGCGCATCCATCATGGATTGATCAACGCTGAGAACTTTATCCTCTTAGCTTTATCTACCTTCCTTGACATTTCGGTTTTTAGAAAATTCAATTTTAATCAGCTCCAAAACTAAATCAATATTATGGAAAAATTGTTGAAGCAATGATGAAGGAATGATGAATGAAGTGCAAGGACATTTCAGCAATTCTATGAGCTTTTCAAATCCACAAATGTTTTAATTGCGAAAAATTTTCGACAGTTGCTGAAAAACCAGCCAGCACAGTGAGCACGACGAAAATGAAGTGGAACAACGTATTTCTAATTTCATTTCTCTATTTCATTCGAGCGATGTTCCGACTAACAGGATAACGAAGAATTCGAGGGACAGGCCAGGTGAGACTTTTGTTCCAATATCGTGTTAACTTAATAATCCAACGAAATATGAAGCGACATATTTATTTTTCTATTCGATGGTCAGACAATAGGAATGTCGTTTTTTGCCGCGCATAATTCCAGCATTGAGTTATCACCTTGACTGTGTCGTCGTCTTTGTGAGTACTTATCTAAAAAGTATCAACTTATAAAAAACACTGTGCGATTCATTGTACCTTTGAACACTAACATTCTTGCCGTTTCCCACAGTTCTACTGTGGACTTCCTTCGCTGTGCTGATCATTGCAAGTTTCCAATGACGTTCTTTTTCCAATGTTTACGAGAAGACGAAAGCCACAGATAGCTCGACTTCCGAGACGTGGAAAACTTCTCGTCCGTTGATGGCAAGGCAGGAAAAGGACGAAGTAAGTGGTCTAATACACCTATGCATCTGTGTGATAAATAACGCAATCATGAATGCAATGTACTACATTTGAAAAATTTGACAAATTTTGGCGGAAAAGAGGGCGAATTTATCTCCTGAACCCGCCAACTAAACCATATGATCACTTTTGGTGCCCCACTATCACTCAATTGGGGTAAATCCTACGTAACCATATGGTTGTCTGATTCGCGATTTCTCAGATGATAGATATCCATAGAAGGAATTCATAGCGTAATTATCGTTGACAACATTAGATTTAAACTCTGAATTTGTAATTTTAGTGAAGGACAGTAAAAGGGTTATTACTATAGGATATTAACATGGTGTTTAAAAGGAATGGCAACACTTAACTAGTGACAAATCGGGTCCTCTGTTTATTTTTAATTACTAATAAGCTAAAAATAATAAACAGCTTGCCAAGGGCTTAGGTAGTTATGCTCATGTTTCGTACCAACCATTGTTGTCCTCTCATATTAGCCTTCAAAGGCTTGTTTAAGTTTTCTTTCAACGACCTGAAAAGATGTTGAATCTACTTCGGCTTTAAGAAAAGATCGCTGAAGTGACTCCAAACAAAATGGTAGCACATAGCGAAGTAATACCTTACCGTACCAATTTTCTCTTAACCTCATCGTGAATAATCAATATATTACTTCAGATTACTTAGCTTACGCGAATTTGTTATGTAACACTTAGTTGGGCTACCGTTTTGACGACTTCGTCATCTTCAAACAGCGATTGATCCGAGTCGACCTTTCTCTCGACTGTTCTTCTGTTCCCCGTTGTGGCTCTTTGTGATTGCAGCTTGTCAGATCCAGTGCAGCACCCACCGAATGATGTAACCTTACTTGGCGGTAGGGTTATTGCTATCAGATGACCAAAAGCAACAAAGTTTTTTATGAAATGGTTTGATATTACTTTATTCGGGTGTCCACTCCAAAGGATTCGACTCGATGCGACGACGATGATCCACATAGCAAGAGCACCAGGCCGTGGACAATTTGACTCTTATCAAAGCGATTTTGAAAAATGCGAAGGCGCCAAAACCCTAGCTTAATGAAGTTCCTTATTAACTCGTGTTGGTCTCTCAATAAAAGAATATGTGTAGCAGCTGTTCTCATACGATTTTCGGTGGACTTCACCTTTTGCAGAACTTAGAGTGGATTAGAACACATTAACGTGCCTTCTACGAAAAAACGTGAAAATAATATATCCATAACTTAACGAAAAATCGAGAACATACAATAGATTTTAATCACGTGCAAAAAAGTTCTGTTTGTGACACCTGCTTTCCTTGCTTAGTTTTTAAAGAGTAGGATATACCTATCCGTGCAGAACTCATATGGATTGGGAAAGGCTCTTGTTTCGTGTAAAAATGGAAAAAAAATGAGGCCTCATCAAATGAAATTATGAGAGGATTATGAGACTATTTTTCTTGAAAAATCGGTGATCAAAGAGTGCTCAACATTCTAAACTAATATGCTCTTATATTAAGGGTATTTTAGGCGGTGAGGACGCCATCGTCTTTTAAAACCACTTGGTTAAAAACGAGAGCATTTCAACGGTCGTTACCGTACAAGGTCATTATAACATAAGCTCACTACCGTATGACGAGAAGCGGCAAAGATCTAAAGTATTAAAGCTCGTATTATTTTTCTAAAAGACTTTGTGTCTCAGTTTACGCAGCTGAGTTTGTCATTTCGTCAATGACACAGCCGATATAACACATTTGACCGTTTCTCGAGATATGTACCACCATGAACGAAAACCGTGTAATTCAGCTCACGTTTAATATAAGAACTGTACCTGAATCTTCCATGATTGTCTAACTGAAAAATCGTTGCCGCTATAGGAATCGCTTCTATATTGGATAAATTTAAGGGTTGACGACAGCTTACGGCGAAGACATGGAAAATACCTGCTGAGGCTGTGTTAACATTTTAAAGGAAACCACGTTCAACGGGCGTTACCGTACTAGGTTCAACTAGAATTCATTTTGTCAACGAGGATAGAAAACAACAAATCCCACAAATCCACAAATGATAGCCAAACTCGTAAGGCGAAGCAATTAAATGAGTCATTTATGACCAGTACAAGACGGCGAAACAGATAGATAAAGGGCTAAGACTTGCATGGCAGGTAAGACAGCTCATCACAATCATTATA